AAAAAAAAAAACGAAAAAAAAAAGTCATGATTTTTTTGCCGATTTGAACTTGGACGACGAGGATGTTGCCATTAAGTGTTTTTCTTGCCTATCTGAACTACGACGACGTTCATGTTGCCATGACGTTACCTGCCTATTTTGAACTAAAAGTGTGACTCCGGAGCAGTTTCCTCAAACAAAAAACTGCAAAAGAAAAACTTAGTTATGCAGAAAAATAAACCTCAACAACGTTTTCTTTTTTTTTCTTTTTTTTGGGGGTGGGAACTCAACAACTTTTGCTTCAGGGTCACATTAAAATTCTTAACCACATTTAAACCACCACTACCTTTCACAGGCAGAAGCAAAGGGGCTCGCAACACAGGCTTTCGAAAGAAGGCATTTTTCGAAACGTGTCAGACTTTTTTCGAAAGTCTGCTCGTAGAAAGGAACCCCCCCTGCCACACAGACTTTCGAAACACCCAGGCCTTTCCATGTATACACATTAGGGCCTGGCTCATTCATTGCTCACTAGACGTGTAAAATGAGAGTCTGAATCTTTGCCTAGAACATGGAAAGATACTTCGCCATAATTTTTGTAGCTTGTGCATGTAGAGAGTAGTGGAGCCAGGCCCTTGGAATCACCCCTTTTTTTTTTTTTTTTTTTGCCGACTGATGTGGGCCTTTTCAAAAGACCACTCGAGGTCTTTCGAGGAAAGGCTCGTGACAGGCGGGAGGATCTCATCTCTTCATAAAGACTTTCGACGCCGGCCCATCTGACACCTTTCAAAACTTTTTCGAAAGAACTGGTTTCGAAAGGCTTTGTGGCGAAGGCACGGCCTCGATTTTGCGCTTTTCGAAAGCCTGTGTGGCGAGCCCCAAAGTCTATCTAGTAGCCTACTCCTGAAAACACGGGGCTCCGGGCAGGCTGGAGTCCGACGAAAAGAAAAAGAAAAAAAAGAAGAAAGAAAACGAAAGAAAACAAAGAGTCCCCACTCCAGGGATGTAGGGGAAGGCCCTCACCAGGGTGGAAGTTATACCAGTGTTTTGACGAATGTATCTGGCCACTATGGCGGACAAGGGATTGCAGTTCGTTTTTTTTTTTTTTTTTTAATCTATATTTTTCTCTCAATGTATTTCATCTTTCTTGGTAGTATGCATCTATCTCATCCTCTCACTAGTCTATTTATAGTACGGGGGAACACCAACCAACCCGGATCTCCCCCCAGCCCACGGGGTAGGTTTGCACCACAGTTGTGGTGCGAGAGCAAGGCTGTACCAGTCCCTCATCATGGTGACGAGGGGTGGGCAGGCATTGCCAATGGGGGAAATCGGCGGTGCTAGCGCCAAGCAATGGCCAGTCACTGCAACTCCCCCAACCCCCCCCCAACCCCACATGGCGGTGTCTAATGGCCAATATTGTCACTGCATAGCAGCCAACAACATCAGCCAAGGTCCTGCCAATGCTGGCTTGGGGGGCCAACGGGTTAT